TTAGTGATATTCCGAAGTTTCGTTGCGAAATGTTGTAAAATGCGGATAATATAGCCCTGCGAAGTTTGCCTTTTTTCACTAGTCATTTTGTATTACGCACGGGAAATTGATATATATATATATACCGCTTTCTGAAAAAAGTATCAATTTCCCGCGTGTAATACAAAATGACTGAAAAACGGCAAACTTCGCAGGGCTATATTATCCGCATTTTACAACATTTCCCAACGAAACTTCGGAATATTACCAATTTTGTGATGCTCTTTCAAGCTGTGATGAAATGTTTGTCTTGACTTGTCTTGTCTAGATCAAAATTTTGTTTATTAGGTAATAGGTCCATTTGTGTGCTGAAGTGAGTTTTAAAAGATACCCCGGTTTCGGTGTACGGGTACGAGTAGTGTCATCTTGTTTACTAGTTTTTACTGATGTCTGTAATTCAATCATACTTTTTCTGTTTTCTTGCAATAGACAATGATATAATGCGAAAAATGTGCACCTTAATTACGAGTAATGGTACAGACATGGACGAAAATATTGCTAACCAAAATCATGCTACTCGTACACCGAAACCAGGGTATCTTAAACTCCCTATTAGGTCTCTTCTTACCCTGACTTTACACTGCTGTGCGTAACTGTTGATGGTTCGCATATTGCCCAAGAATCCAGTGTGAACTCGAGGTGTTTTACCAGTGAACTCACTTCCTTGGTAATTTGTTAGAGCACACGTTGCTATAAAGAAAATAAAGTGATTAAAAAATCTAATGATTAAATCAGACATGCTTTTTATGTTTGCATTTCTGATTTCGGAAGGCTTGACCGAAATAATTGTGCAACACGCGTTTGATTTCGGACCAAATTGCACTCCACTCAGTTTAATTACCATTATTTATCACATACAAATGTACAGGTCAACCAACCCAATATTTTGACCAACTATAAATTTCGTGAGGATAAAAAGTAGCAATTTACCTACAATCGCGTGCAAAAATAATGAGACTCTTCACATTTTGGTGATCTTTTTCACGTGCGTGCCCCCCTCCCACCATTAACAATGCTGAAAACATTATTTGATAAGCCCTGACCTCAAAATCGTTTTAACAACATTGTACAAGGGGGGGCAAGAACCATTGTTACAGGAGGGAGAAGGCCAATAAACTGCTTGTCTCAACAATTTTTGCACGCGATTGCAGGTGCCCCATAAGGCAATACCTATAAATTGCCTATTAATTCCTATGAACCGATTGTTTGGGTGAGTGCACACTTACGTTTTCGTACACTTGGTCTCCTGACACTAGGAGCAGGTCTATAGAAGAAAAAATAATACACATACATGTATAATACTCAAGCAAAGTATTCGAATTCATTTCAATGATTTAGATCATCGTTAGTACATGAAAATATGGATGAACTCCGTGCAAGCCATATTTTACTGGGGACCATTTGGCCCCAGGCCCCACTATAGTTGGCTCCCAACTCCCTGCATGGGCCCTTTTCAACATATATTTCCAAAATATACTAAACTATACCCTGGTTGCTGAAGAGAGTTACAAATAATACATATAGGTAAACTTAAATCAATATTTGAATAGAAATTAAATGCCTGTACAAACTGAGAGTTTACAGTTCACGTTAACTGAACGAAGGCAACAAGTTTGGGCTCTTGGCAACTAGCTGAAGATTAATTTTTAATTTTCTGATGAAAACTTAGAAAGCCATTAAGATGTTCTGTTTTAGATGGAAACAATCCGTCGGATGTCGTATGTATAAAAAAAGCCAACAGTTTTTTTGCTTCCTGAAATGGTTCGGGAAATTACCACACGGTGGTGGCAAAAACACTGAAGATACAAACACGATCGAAGATTGGGTTAAAGTAAATGGCAGTAAATGCGGAAGGACAACGATGGTTTGTCAAGACTTTAGACAAGCTTTGCAGTGGTAAAATGATACAGGACAAGTATTTGACAAGCCAGTATAGCTTTAGTTATGGGTGCAACAGACTGCATAATGTATAGTTAAGAAATTGGGTACATGGAAGCAGGTCTAGAAAATATATTTTTCTTCCTGGCAACAAAATCCAAAAATAAAAATTTTCTGTGTAAGTCAAATATAAAACTTTCCCGCATATCGGCATATGTGATATAGATTTCAGAGAACATATATGGTGCTGCACATTGCATGTGATAAACTTCAATCCCGGCATAAGACACACTTGAAACGCTTTTGAACAATCAGTAAATATATGTGGCATCCCGGAGTATATAAGATGAGAGAAACTTTCCTGCGAAGATATTTTGTTAAAAACTTCCTGGTAGCGATACTGCTGGTACTGCCAGACATTTCCCAGCAGTAATGCACGAAATACAAATTATAGTGAGAGAGATAGAGATCGAAGTGCAAACCTTCTCGAAGAGCTTCGTCTACTAGACCACCAACCATCGACACAGCAGAGCTGACAGAACACAGCCAAGATCAAAAACGCAACTTTAAAATCAGTCTTCATCTTCACAAACACCCAAATATATCAGACGAAATCAAACGGAAAAATGAAATTTAACGTATGTTTCGGTGTTTTTATATGCTCGTCTCCGCTGTGTGCAAATTATTCATAAATGCAAATGTATATATATTAAATGCTAAAGCGGAAGATTAAGTGTGAATTTGTATTTTGCGGGGTCCAATACCATTATGTATAAAAATCAGGAAGTCTTCAGCGCCAACACAGAACAAGCCGCCATAGACTGCCAGCTCTATGATTATATAGTATATTCTTGATAACTAAGTATATGAACTTTCATTGAATGTATATTACCCATTAGGAAGAGTTGTATGACGAAAGTAAAATTATTCGAGAACATGTGGCAAAATATTCATAAGGCAATATAAGCAAAAAGCCAATATTAGAGTGACATATTAGGCAATTTAAGTTAAGGGGAAAGAGAGATCACTGATGGCCAATTTTATAATTTCATTTTAGACAAACGACTTCCTTTTTCGCTAACAACCAGAATAGGGTAAAGTCCTCTAACATGTTGGCATTAGCCGAATTCACATTCAGAGACGGGAACTCGTCTGAGACGAGAAACTCATCTAATATAAATCCGCGGCAACAGACGAGTTTTCCGTCTAAAAGGAGTTTCCTGTCTCTATAATGTGAATTCGGTTAATCACAACACCAAAGTAAATTTGTTGTGGTCATTCTGATGTATATAGTTTGTGATACATGCACAATAAATGTTTCGTGAACCGTCACAGCGTGTCTAAGAATGTCCCAGCGTACAGAGATATAGACTTTCACACTTTAGACTTTATTCAAATTAGCACACATATACATTTACAAGATTATTATAATAATATATATATATGTAAAAAGGCTACCACACAAAAAGGAAATAATTTTTAGTAATTTGAAATTAAAACTTTCGAGTTGATCACTGCCTATCAATAATCCAGAAGAAAGCTCCTTACAAGAAGAAATTAATCTCCAGCTGGTCCCAAGGAAACAAACTTAGTTGAACCCGAAGAAGTGCAAAGAGTTTCCTTTAATTAAGAGAAATCCACGATCTTATGAATCAGTAGAAGTCATCCTTTCGAGAGTTCACATGCTGTAAGAGTTCTCGGAGTCATGATTAGGGATGACGTGAAATAGAACGGCCATGATGCTTGCGCTATATGTTTTTAACAAACGATTTATCTATACCAAATTTTATTCAGGGCGAAACGGATTTCTGTTTACAGTATATAAAGTTCTTAATTATTGAATATATTTTTTTCGCAAACAGTACAATCGGAAAGTAGGCGAGAAAGTTTGGACTCTTTCTGCATTCAGAATTGACAGATCCGGCATTTTCTGTATTCCTCGTTTTCCGTGAACTCTTTACATACATATTTTTTATTTGTAACAAGGACGAACTGTTAGCATATAATACTGACTGAATTAGATCATTTATTTTCAAGATCCTTTCCATATTTGTGAAGAAACGAAGTTGAAAGTATGTACACCATAAGTCTACTGAAATCAGTTTTGTTTGTCAGCAAATCTAGTATTGTTTGTCAGCAAATCTAGTATTGTAGGAATGAGATGTGGAAGCCATGCAGTTGAATAGTTTGAGAAAGTACTGTAGGTCTATAGAACAACATCGCACAATGTGAAAGTACTAAAATGCTGAAGCGGAATACGAAACTAACAAATAATTGACAGGCTATATATAATTAAATGTCATTCATTAACTTCTGCATCCGTCACATCGCAAGCTAGCAATAACCAGATCTACAAGTACTGCAAATCTGCATGGTGTGTTCACTCCTCAGCATGAAAAATATAAGCGTGAGAAATATTCTGGTTCATTTATTAGATCACACATGAGTTACTAAATGGTCAAAAAAGTCGGAATTTGCAAAACAAACATGTACCAACTTTATTCAAACAGAACTACCAATATAGACAATACTGGTACATATAGAACACAAACATATTTAATTTACAGAAAGACTATAGATTACAAAATTAGGATACTATAGTTATAATTGATCAAAATTTGTTAGGACATCGGAGCAGTACTTGGCTACCAATGTCCCCACAGGATTTGTCTTTCATTACAAGAACATACATAAACAAGTCATGATTATTAAAAGAACGAAACGAGTGATTTATTTGCCTAATTTGGTCATAAATAACATCCGCTCTGAGGTCAGTAAACTTGTATTACTGAACCGCATTAAGTGGTGCTGTTCGTTTCCGACCTCGTTTAAATTGCAATGTTGACAAATTTGTTTATCGAACGGGACATTTGCATAAGTCTGGAATACTCTCGACTCTTTTATTATTTTAATTAAGAGTGATTTCCGTTCCAAATAAAATATTGTTATACTTATTTCAAATTCAACAATTTAATATTTGCATTTTTCTACAGAAAGTCCCCTGTTAAAAAAAAACCAACAAAAACGACTGATTTTTTGAATTGAATCCCCAACATTAGTCTACAACGGAATCTCACTTTGAATTCTAACTCGAATCATTACTAGCCCTCTTCAAT